GAAGGTTCATTAAATAACTTATCTATATATAGCTTTTTCTTGATCATACGATGCTAATGTTGCTCTAAGCTAACTAGAATTATTTTTGTATTTACGTCAAGCAGGAGAACATAATCCAAAACCCAAACTTTGAGGATGGCCTGGACAGCTGGAGTGGAAGAGGGTGCAAGGCCGTCTTACACGAGTCCATGGATGGAGGGAGAATCGTGCCGCTCTCAGGGCACGTTTTTGCAGCAGCAACAGAGCGTAAAGCCACATGGAATGGGATACAACAGGAGATCTCGGGAAGATTCCAGAGGAACCGTGTCTACCAAGTAATAGCAGTGGTTCGAATAAATGGCAAAGCTGTCACGATTGCAACAATACAGGCGACTCTCTGGGTTTTAAACGCAAACCAACGTGAACAATACATAGGCATTGCCAAGTCGGTCACCTCTTTCTCCATCTGCTCCATTGTTAAACATCAAAGATCTTGAAATATTCATTGAAACTGATAAGTTTTTTTGGCACGTCAATGAATCATATTAGTGTGCAGGCGACAGACAAGAACTGGGTAGAGCTGAACGGTAAATTCGTAATCCATGGTTCGCCATCGCGGGTGATACTATACCTCGAAGGTCCACCTCCAGGAGCTGACATTCTTCTCAACACTTTAGTGGTCAAGCATGCGCGAAGAATTCATCCTTTGCCTCCACCCTTCTACGAGGTTAGTCCCTTTACCATATATAGTCCATAAATAAGTGATGGTAGTCTAGTGGATATCTTATTCATATGTATCTATATGTGGGCAGAATCCGGGTTTCGGAGTCAATATAGTTGAAAACAGTGAAGTGAGAGATGGGACAACTCAACCATGGTTCACCCTTGGAAACTGTAAGTTGAGTGTTGGACAAGGCGCCCCTCGCACTCTCCCTCCAATGGCGAGAGACACGCTCGGCCCTCACAAACCTCTTGGCGGAAACTACATCCTCGTGACCAACAGAACACAGACTTGGATGGGTCCGGCTCAAATGATAACTGATAAACTCAAACTCTTCTTGACATATCAAATCTCAGCGTGGGTTAAGATCGGTGTTGGGGTGAGTAGTGGTAGACAGAATGTGAATATCGCACTTAGCGTCGATAACCAATGGGTCAATGGAGGACAGGTCGAGGTCACCGTTGGGGAGACATGGCACGAACTCGGCGGATCATTTAGGCTTGAGAAGCAGCCACAAAACGTCATGGTTTACGTTCAAGGCCCTGTAGCTGGCGTTGATCTGATGATCGCGGCACTGCAGATTTTCCCCGTGGATCGTCGACAGCGTGTCAGATATCTCAGAAAACAAGCTGATCTGGTTCACACTCTCTCATTCTCATGAAACTTCCTTAGATATGCAGTTTAATGAGTTGAAGAATGTTGTTTCTTGTTAGGTACGTAAGCGGGACATCGTCTTGAAATTCTCAYGACTAGAGAGTTCCTTCGATTTGTTTCCTTACATAGTGAAGGTGAAGCAAACACACAACAGTTTCCCATTAGGGACGTGCATTAATAGAACAGACATAGACAATGAAGACTTTGTAGATTTCTTCACTAAGAACTTTAACTGGGCGGTGTTCGGGAACGAGCTGAAGTGGTACTGGACAGAACCCGAACGTGGGAAGCTCAATTACCAAGACGCAGATGACATGTTGGATTTGTGTATCGGCAGCAACATCACTGTAAGAGGACACTGCCTCTTGTGGGAAGTTGAGTCCACAGTCCAGCCGTGGGTTCGCCAACTCAGCAAAACCGATCTAATGAATGCAGTCCAGAAGCGTCTAACGGATCTCCTAACACGATACAAAGGTAAATTTAAGCACTACGACGTGAACAACGAGATGCTTCATGGTTCTTTCTATCAAGACAGGCTTGGAAAAGGTGCAAGAGCATTGATGTTCAACATGGCACACAAGCTTGATCCGTCGGCAGTTTTGTTTGTGAACGATTACCATGTCGAGGACGGAGAGGACACACGGTCATCCCCGGAGAAGTATACAAAACTTGTTCTTGATTTGGAAGCGCAGGGAGCAGCTATTGGAGGCATTGGGATCCAAGGGCACATAGATAGTCCTGTGGGAGCCATAATTTGCTCTGCCCTTGATAAGCTCTCTGTTCTCGGTCATCCCATCTGGTTCACAGAGCTTGACGTCTCTTCCAGCAATGAGTACGTTCGAGGCGAGGATCTTCAAGTTATGTTGTGGGAAGCATTTGCCCACCCTGCAGTCCAAGGTACGCCATTACTTCACCTTATGTGCATTTCAGACCATGTCGCAACATTTTATACATAAAAAAATAAAGAAACTATTTAGACATCGACTTTGAGCCAAAAAAAAAATATATATATAATCGATATTTATTCTTAAACTGATTTATGCACCGACTGAAATATAAAATAAAATAATAATTCTCAGCTACACAAACTATTAACTAATATATGGCTAAACATCTCAAATATGGAAACATTTTCTAAACTACACAATCATGTGTAATACATGGTGACATATAGTAAATATATGTAAACATCATGAAAAATACAAATCAGTGTTTCTTAATAAAAAAAAAAAATTTGTCAATTTGGGGTCAAATTGTAATTATTTTTCTAAATATAAGCTTTTGAGAAAAAACTAAATGATTCCGA